TTCTTAGACTCCACCTCCATAAAGTCTAAGTTATTTAAATACTTGGCTTTGATTATACCCATAAATTCTCATTGTTTGTAATAATCTTCCACCCTAGTTTAGCAAGGAGAGCCTTGTTAATCCATTTCACATTCTCTTCCAGTTAACAAGATGAATAAGATTTTGACTTTTAGAATTAGACCAAATAAAATCCCTTTGAGCTTTTCCCAACTCACTAATAACATTATTTGGAATTTTGAAGGATTGCATTACAGATTGGGGGATCATAGAGGCATCAGAATTGATCAGAGTAAACTTGCCTACAAGGGAAAGAGTATTTTCTTCCAACCAGCAAGTTTACAAGCCATTTTCTTGCTAAGAGATTTAAATACCTCTTTCAAGACTCTCCCATTAATAACAGGTGCACCCAATTTATCTATAAGTATAAAGCAAGATGGACCAACTAGGTCATAACGTAGGATTACCTCTCTTATTACATCTCTATTAGAATTTTTTTCTCAAATTAAGAACCATTTTTCTTTCATGCTTTGATTGTCTCTCATGCTAATCAAATTTAAATTAATTAATTAATTATGTTAAGTGTAATTTAATTATAGTAATCAAATTTCTATTTAATTATATATTTTTATTATGTTAGTTTTAATTAATTACTTATATTTAGACAACTTTAGTTAAACTTAAGTAAAATTAAGGTACTTATTAAAGAAGAAATCCACATATCCATTGTTCATTGTTCACGAAGTAAAAGAAGAAACTCCATGTCTATTAATTATTTAATTTAAATTAATAGATAAAATACTTAAATTTGGATAATTGCTGATCTTGGTTATTAATTTAGTTACAAATTATAGTACTATTAATTATTAACAAAATTATATTTAATAGAAATTATTGTTACTTTTGTTCACAAAAATTATAAATTACAACTATACAAAATTATTTCACGTAAATTATAATTTAAAAAAAAAATTACCGTTAATTATAGTTAACAGTAATTACTATCACTTACTGTTAAAAGAAATTATAAATTATTGTTTGAAAATGATGGTCGTGATCCTTCTTAGCCATTTGCATGTTGTAAAAATGGGGAAAACATGCTTTGATCTATGGGACTATGGGTTATAAGGCTATTCCTTGCAGTTTATGACCCATCTCCCCAACTGGATACCCATGCAACCAACCTCCCTTATGGTTGGACCTTGCAAAAACCTCCCTAGACAAAAATGCCCTTACTAATTATTAAATTAATTTAATTAACTTACTAATAGTTTAATAAAATACCTTACTTTTTGGTAAATAAAGATTCAAAGTTTTAAATCACTGCAACCAGGAAATCATACAACTTTCAAATGAAACTTGAGAGTTGGATGGGTCTACGTCTATCGACACTCTCTACTAACCTATACCTGGGAATTAATTTAGATGTCGTTTGGCAAGTTTTTTTTTGAAAGATCTTCTAGAAGTTCTGATAGTCAAAAGACATAAAGATCCTAGCAACCCATAAATCATTTAATTGGAGACACATCTTTCTGCCTAAAGACGAAACGAAAAAAAGCCGAAAAGCTTCAATTGGAGCTTTCCAAATTTAGCCCAAAATGGGCTTCTCGCATCTTTTCGGGATGTGATCTTTTGGCAGTTAGGTCTTCTCCCAACAAAATGAGAAAAGTCCAAAACGCAAGCTACTGGACTTTTAAACAGTCAACAGCCCATGCAGAAAGACGTGCCAAACAGAGCTTTAGATTAATGGGTAAATTATTTAAACCTCCCCTATAATTTGACGTGTGCAACCCCCCCCCCCMCCCCCCTTCCCTGATATTTTCTGTAAAATTATTATAATGTCTATATTAATTATTAAATCAATTTAATTATCTTATTACCATAAATGCCTATATGTTTTTTGGTAGAGTAATGGCCTTATTAAGGCTAAGTTTGGTAGTACCTAAAAATAAGCATTTATTCTAGGCTGGGAATACACCAATATGCACTTATTTAACTTTGGAAAATAAGCCCGAAAAACGGAAAAAGAATAAAAACTTAGCTTTGGACTTTTGGACCTATCTTGGCCTATCGCATCATTTTGAAATTAGTGCTTTTTCACCAAATTCTTATGAACACTTACAGACTTACTAAGCACTTATTTTTCAAATAAACACTCCCAAATTTCATTTAAGGCTTTAATTGGAGTAAGAATGACTACCAAATCCAAATGTCTAATAACTTTTCATATATACAATATGATACTAGTATGATATTATACAATATCATATCGATACTTTGGATGTTATACAGACTCAAGTTGGTTCTCACGATATCTGATGTCAAGAGCCTGGTCTGACTCTGCCCAGATTGTCTTCAACCAAATCATCTTCTTTTGGCATCATTGACCAGTTTGATTTTCAAAGTATTGCCTGTGCTCGGATTATATGAACCCAAAATAAATTTTCCCACTCCATCACACCCCCCGAAGATATTAAGCCTCAATCTCTTGTTTCATCCATGGCTGCTAATTAATCCTCTACGTTATATATTCATCAATTTTCATGGTAGTTTTTCTTTTCGAAAATTCAATTATGATATCTTAACTAATCATATTAAAAACATCATATGATATGTTTTTATCAATAAATATCACTCCATTAAGATTCCATCACGTTTATCTAGGTTCAAAGTTCATACTTCTTTAATTTACAATAAAACCAGATCCGTCCCACAACTGTTAATTTACAATACGTTTATCCACGTAGCATCGTAGTCACACATGAAAAACATCTCATCCTCATACGTAGTATTATATAGGGGGATATATTCCCAATTTACGATGGTAGTATATTATAGACATGGATAGAGTTCTCATGAACACGGGTGAAGCCACCATTAGTTTTAAGTGGCCCTCCCCTTTTAATCCTAATTGGCATATTGATTGAGCTAAGAAAAATCCGTGTGTTGTGTCATCTTGGCAACACACGTCAGCCCTATATCCATCCCCACGGCCCCCATCTTGGATCAGCACCCAACTAGCAGAAAAGAGTGTATGTAATCTAGGCATCTTGACTGCAAAATATCTGGGACTGGGATAATCACAAGCTCTTTGCTCTTTAGAAACTTTGACTTCATATCAACCCTTTTTATTTTACTTTTCTACTTTCTTTCCAGCTCTCATTGTCATCCAGAGGACATAGATGTTGGCCTTTGTAAGCACTGTGTCACCAATTCACCGTACTCCCATCTTCCAAAAAGTAAAATTCTTTGCCATGCTTTTCTCAGCCTTGCTTATTCTTGTCTCATCATCCCTCCTCGGGATTGAAATAGGATTTGGTCCCGTGTTCCTACAGTCCAGTCTTGCATTGAAATATTTCTTCGTGAAAACAAATATACAAGTATAGAAATATTCTCAATACACGGCTGAAGAAGAAGGCTGTGAGAATGGTATAAGCATAGTCTTATGAAGACAGAATCCCATCTATCCTCGTTTTTTCTCAATATGCCTCTAATTTAAAACGAAACCAAAAGGCAGATGGCGTTCAGTTTTCTACCAAAAAAACCATGGCGTTCAGTTGCCATGGAACCACCACCAGATGTCTCCCAAACGCATACGTGATTGATTGTACGAGAACGCAAAGACTAACAGCTTTTACCAGGACCTTTATGTGACACCCCAGGATAAGAACCCCCCCAAATGTCCATCAAACCAAAGGAGATTCCATGTGCATCTGAAGCCCCTAAAGAGTCAAGACCCCTTTTCTCGTTGATTATTTATGCTTGTCATCTTTATTTTCCTGCTTTTAATCTCCTTTCTTACCCTGACACAATCAATCTCATGCTCAGAATCCCGACAGCAGGATCAAAATGTTGGATTGAGTCTTTCCCACTGAAATGCCTGAGAATATGCTAGCAGTGTTGCTCAAATGACCATGGCAGTCTGAGCTTATATTTTACGGTTAAGGGCTCCGTTAAATTGACAGCTTGCACTAAAACTTTTGCCAAATTCTGATAATCATCGATTTTGATTTTGATTAAGTGTCCATGATTGAACAATCAATAATCAGTTCCAAGTAAAAGAGTATTATTAAAGGAGCAATTTTATCCATGGTTTTTAAAACCGGACCGGACCAAACGATCAGACCAGAAAAACCGGGAACCGGTCAGGTGACCAGTTCTATTTCCACCAAAACCAGATTTTTCCTCCAAAACCGTTAATTTTAGTCAGCAAACTGCTGAACCAGGCAGTTAACCGTCCGAACCATTCGAACGGTTTTGACCATTTTTTATTATTTTAAACTTTTCTTAAATTTTTTATTTTTATTTTGTCAGAACAGGTCAACCGTTCGGGTCGAATGGTCAGACCATTTGACCCGATAACCAGACCACTGACCGGTTCAGTCACCAGGTCATGGTTTTTATCTTTTATTCAAGTATTGGCAACTTTTTCTTGATAAAAAAGTTATCCACTTGAGAGATAAGTATCATTTACCCACGTAAGTGATACACAAGAAAAATAAATTTTTCATAAACCCCACATAAATCAACATAGGTATCTGTCAATAAAAACTGAAATCCCATTAACCAAAGCTTTACCCCTCAAAATCCAAAAACGTGCCACGAATAATGGATGAGGCCCATGCACCCGCAGCACTAGCATTCCCCTTGCTGTTATCGGATTATCTTCGATGATGACAGGGCAGTGTATTCAAGCTTTCTTTTCTGCGTTTTTGAGTGTCAAAAACAGTTTTTTGATGGGATATTTCCAAGCAATTCACGACAGGAACGGAATTAATTCGCATTCCCGCCCCGCAATCCCGACACAACCTAATTAAATCCAAAACCCCGAAGGCTCTCAATACTAATACAGCATTCAATATCACACAACTCAGACTCCTTGGGAGAAACATGCAAACAATTGGCTCCAAAGGCATCTTAGTCACTAAAAAGTAAAAACCCTCCTATCATCAGCTTTTATGAACATATGCTGGTTTCTCCTCAAACATTTAAGAAAACCAGAAAAAAGAAATTTTAGGATCACAGTTGATTAAACTATTTCACTATCTATAAAAATAGATGAACAGAAGAGCCCCAAGTTAATTGTGAAACCGCGCAAAAGATTTTTTCCATCTAGAAACAAGAAAGGCTGAGACTATTACAAGACCTCCCTCCCCATCGCCAATAATAACCCTCCTAAGTCCTAACCTTGATTCTACAAACTAGCCACGTCTGGAGAAATTCCAAACCACATTGGGCACCATGAAGTACATTGCAGTGCAGTGTATGCAGCAACAGACAATGTATTCCTCCAAGAGAGAATAAAGTAAATAAGATTATATTTACCATCAGGAACCCAGGTGACAAGATTAAAAAAAAACGCTTGATTTACGAGGAAGAATCAGCTCTGAGTTACATCATCATCCATTGACCTTCCTCGGCCGCTTTTTCCCACTCTTTGTTTCATTTTCTTGTGCTTTGGCTGAATCTGACAATTTCCCTTTAGACGACTCTTCACTTTCATGCACCTTTGATGAACCAGATTTTCCTTTACTGGAGCTTCCATTGGCATTGGACTTGCTTCCAGTTTTGGGAGTTTCACCCTTGGACTTGCTACTGCTAATCTTAGGTGTCTCATCCTTGGACTTCGTGCTCACCTTCTGATTGTCGTCCTTGGATTTTCCAGCCGTTTTTTGGGTCTCATCTTTCAGTTTGCTACTAGCTTTAGGAGTATCATCCTTGGATTTTCCACCACCATCCTTTGACTTTCCAACTGCCTTGGGGGTGTCTTCTTTGGATTTGCCATTTACTTTACCATCATCCCTGGATTTACTACCAGATTTTCTCGCTTCAACTTTCGATTTGCTGGCTGAAGTACCTCCACCCCTAGAATCCCATATTTTGAACTTTCAATCTTCAAAATTAATGGACTAACCACCAAAAATAAATGAGAGAAGATATCTACTCACCGTTTTGAGGAAGCATCAGACCTTGCTTGCTTGGTTGAAGAATCTAAATTTGTTTTTGTTTTCTTCTTCTGGTGCCTGGTCAAATAACCAATCACAATACGATAATCATTAAAATAAAATATGGACATAAACATAACCAGAAATAGTGACCAGTTGTAGAGCAAGAATATGCAAAATGCCACTCAACTTTTAGTAATGCCTGGGTTTCTTATAATTTCCTTCTTCCCAATGTACAAACTTCTTAATTCACCACATTCACATGACATGGGAAAAAGGAGAAAAGTAGAAGACTGACAAAAACCACCAACTTCATAAAAGACGACCAAAAACAATGCCCAACAAATCCAATTCTCTGGCCTTATGTATGACAGAAGACATGCATATACAAGATGCCTTGAAAAATTGCAAAAAGCCAAACAAAAATACATTGCCCACGTCAAAGAGTCTAGCGATGCCTAAGTAAATTGACCTCATGTATGACAGAGGACACCCACACTGAAAGCAAGAAAAAAAAGAATGTGCTAGGAAAATTAGGAACTCTTAACAGTTTAAACAAACTACCAAATATCATACTGTGACACCCATTAGTAGTGTTCACGTAATTTATTACCACATCTTCAAAGTTCAAACCATACACCTTGTGCAATAAGATGGAAATGTAAGCATTCTATGAAACTAATACCATAAAAAGTGAAAATTATGGAGAATGATGTTGAGATTGGCAAAAGTCTTGGCTTGTTCTTTTGGTTTTTTGGAGGTGAGGAGTTTGCTAAGAATGCCTTTGAGGAGTTCAAGAGGAAGAGGAAGGAAAGAGAGTTTGAAGAAAGTGGTAATTGGGAAGGGAGAGACATAGGATGAGGATGATGATAGGCAGGAGGAAGTGTTCGAGGGAGAGGATTAAGGAAATGAATGTCTGGGTCTTGAATAGTCTTGGAGTTCATAGAGACAGGTGAAGGACTACAAGTGTCTGGAAATGGTGCTTTTGGTTCATTTTGATTGTCTTGTAATCTGGTGTCAATGGTTATAAGCAGTGTTTTAAAAGCGCAAGGTGCAAAAAAGGTGCAGGGGTCAATTTGCGCCTTTTTAAGCAAGGCGCAAAAATAAAAAACAAAGGGCTATAAAACAAAAAAAAATCCAAAAACGTTCAAAAAATGCAAAAAATTAAAAATATATATATATTAAACATAATATTAATAAAAATATAAACTTTAGTTTTAAAAATGTTTTAAAAACCTATTATCTAATATTAAAATACATAAAGATAACATGTAAAGCATATTCAAATGAGCATTCATAAAAAAAAAAGCATATTCAAATGAGAATTTAAAAATAAAATCAAATATATAAAACATTTTCAAGCATATAAAACCCACAATCTCTTTTTTCCTCAATTGCATTTACTCAAGTAGCTAATGTGATGTAAAACATATTACATTCCTGATTCTACAAGCCGCCTTTGTACCACACCCCTCGAGGCAAGTCCAAACAAGTCCACATTAGGTCTTAAATTCTTAGTTCTCACACAAAAAGTAATGATTTTATAGTTTTAATTGCTTTTTAAGAAGACATTTTATTAGGATGAATGAATGGACAGCATTACCAAATAGGGGGTTCTCGAAGCAAAAAGCATCAAAGTTTCAAAAGGTGCATGCCTGGGCTGAGGTGCAAGGCACACCAAGTGTGCGCCTTTTGAAAGGGCTGTACCTAGGACCTGGGTGAGGCACCTACCCTGAAATGTTCCTAGGCGTGCCTTTTAAAACACTGGTTATAAGTTTGTATTAGTGTCTGTTTTCTTTCTCTCGGATGATTTCTTATCACCTTCCTTTTGTATTGTCTTTTTCTTTCAATGAATTTCTCTTTATTCTTCAAAAAGAAAGAAATTAATACCACAATTCAGACTCTAGCAGAGATTCCATGCATAATTTAGCATGCTTCTAAACAGAGTTCAATATCAGCCAACAGATACTTACATTTCAGAAGCATCAGGACTTGAAAGGTCAGCTTCTTGATCCTGTCAAGAAAAACATATCATATACAACTACATACCAAAATCAGATATAATAAATTCCTAATACAGAATTAGGAATCACACCCACCCCATCTGACACTTTATCTCCAATAAATTCCCATCGCTCCTTACGGAGATTCAATATCTCCTCATCACCATCATCATATAAAACCTGCACCAAGTAGAAATGCATAAAATAATGCAGAAGGTTGAGAAGATATGTATAAGCATGTGGACCATGAGAACCAGTTCACCTTGTGCTTCTTTTTAACAGGATTGAAAGAATCAATAACACCTTTATAAAACCTGCAAAATAACAATTTGGATAAAATACATGAGAGTTGCTATATCAAAACTTTGACCAATACCAGACCTATGTAGTTCATTTAAGTAACCAGCAAAACAAGCCAGACAGAATATAAAATGGACCCCATTCATGTACCAAATAAAGACCCCCAAACAAGAAATATTGGAATATGTAACTCACTGAAAAGCAATAACGCCATCACATAAGACTCATGAAAAACACCAAACAAGGTCTAAAAGCTTTTGCTATTTCAGCAAAAGCTGACCAAGACAGTGAACATTACATTATATTGATGTAATTAGACTAAAGGAATACTGCAAAAGGAACTTCCTACTACAACATGGTTTAGAACTCAAGTGAAAAAGTTGGTTGGCCCATCTAGCCATTTCATTTTATGACTGTATTGCAGATTTAGGTCAAGGCAAATCTCATACATAAAACTCAACAATGGAACCATCCTTACAAAGTATGTCCACAATGCATAGAATGATCAAGCTACAGGTATCACAAAGGTACTCTCCACAAGCCAGGAGATTGTAACTTGAATACTCCCAAGGGAAAAGGAATTCACTCAACACTTTGTATCTTCTATTCTTGTCAGGTGTGTTGATGGGTATCTAATAGTTGCTCATAAAAGAGATAATCAGCTGGTTAACTGCAAAACGATGATAACATGAATTGACCTTAGGCATACCTTCTTGAACAATACAACAGGGTCAGAGGAGAAGACAGCTGTTGAAAAAAGAAAAGGAAAAATAGCTTATAATTCACTATGTGCCTACATCATCATATAAGCCTTGTCCCAGCTATATGGGGTCAGCTACATGAGTCCTGTCTCACCATTCTGTCTTGTTTGCCATATCCATCATTGAATAATGGGTGCTTAAATTATTCCTTATTACAATTCACTATGTGCCTACAAAGTATAAAGATCAAAAGAAAAAGTATGCACAACTGCACTTATTACAAAATGGGAATGACAAAAGCACAACTTACTGATGATCTATTGGCCACCAAACCTTGATCTTTGCACCGACCAAGTTCTCACCATGACCCTTGACACTAAGTGGTGTTTCAGCAGCCTGAAAAAAAATGGTTATTAATCCTCGTTAATATGTACAGTTACAAAGAAGGATAGAACATTGACATCTATGTAAAGACGAAGCAAAGGTTCTAACTGAAAATTAAGCAGAATTAATTAGGTTTCCCCTTTTCCTCTTAAAATATTTATCAATGAAGATATCAGCAGGCACAGTATGAGATTGACCACAGGTCACTACTAAATAACAGCAAGAGAAACAGATAACACTGGCAATATCAACCCCCTGAACACATAATTTTGACATTGTAAAACATTCCTAGTAGATTCAAGAATTACAATTCAATAAGAAAACTATCAACTATATTCAGTACATAATCAGCTCTACCACTAGATACATCCAATTCAAGAAAATGAAATTACACATTACAACACTAACACAACTATAAAATGGCATCAGAGAAAGGATCTCTGTTTGGCTATCACATGCCCCCCCCCAAAAAAAAATAAATTTAAAAAAAACCCTCCACTGAGAATTCCCAAGTCCTATTACAAGTTCGATTTAAGAATCTCCAAATATGCTTGTTGACATTTTAGGGTTAAGTTTGTAGAAATAATATTAATGATAATAATACTTTTGATGTTTAAAAACATTCTTAGTAGATTCAAGAATAACAATTCAATAAGCAAACTATCAACTATGAACAAAGTACATAATCAGCTCCATCACTAAATACATCCAATTCAAGAAAATGAAATTTCAAATTACAACACTAAGAACACTAACTCCTACAAAATGGCATCAGTGCAAGGATCCTTGTATGGCCGTACATGCCAAAAACAAAACATCCAGAGAATTCCAAAGTCCTATTACAAGTTCAACTTAATCTCTTAAGTTTTTTCTTGAAGGAAACGGTGACAAGTACAGCTGTCAACCCATAAACAGGTGTTGGGCCGCCAGTAATCTTTCTTACAGAACTGCCCAGAACACTCTCTCCCACAGTCCCTTGTTTAGCCAACGTGTCAGCTAAACCATTAGCTGATCTCCTTGTCCATTTGAAGCACACACCAATCTCCCCTGTTGTGTTAAGGATTTCCCTTATGTGCTGTCTATAAATCCTGGCTCCCAACTTACCAAATTGCAGCCACTCAATCAACGACTTAGAGTCTCCCTCTATCTCAATCCGGTGTAACCCAACTGTTTGGCATCTGTTTGGCATATCTTACACCTTGAAGCAAGGACATCACCTCTGCTCTCAATGAGTCTCCTATTGGTCCTGAAAACATAGCCACAATTCTGACATTTTCATCTCTTAATCTCTAAATATGTTTGTTGATATTTTAGGGTTAAGTTTGTAGAGAAGAGTTCCCCTCGTTAGGCTCCCCTTAATGCTAAATAAATGCGATTGCTAAACAGCCCCTAAATGCATAATAGACCATCTCAATACTCCCTCCAAAGCTAAGCCTAGATATTAAACATGCACAGCTAGATAAGATTGCCTACTAACTTGGATTTAAAGACACTTTCATTTTTATTTTTTGATAAGCATCAATGAACAATTCATTAAAGAACAGAAACCACACCGCAAGGTGGCCTAAAATACAAACAGCCTTTGAATCAAACCAAAAGAGACCAACAAGACCAAAAACAGCAAAAGAAATACCTCTTACAGGTTACAACCCGGCCCTGGGCAACCCCAACCCAGCAAAAGAAATACCTCTTACAAGTGGTACTGAATATAGAGTGAGCATCCCATTAGCCTTTGGAGAATAATCTTCGCCAAGTATCGGTCCAGTATCATGAATTAGGACCCAGGAGTAACCAGTACACCATACAAGTATGCAGTATGGAGAGGTATACAGAAGCATCACAATGGCTTCAAAAAGGTAATCTAGTATGAGGTGGGAAAAGGAGCTGGGATAAAGTTTTGGCAGGACACATGGTGTGGAGATCAGACACTGAAAGAGGCATATCCAACATATAAGATTGCCCAGAAGAGCCAGAACAAAGAAGGCATGTTTGCAGATGTTTTTTTCTTTTGAGAGAGAGAATCAAGTGATGCCCCATATTTAGAAGAAATTTAAATGATCGGGAGGTAGGGCCATGGATGGAACTAAAGCAGGGAATTAACTCAATAAGGATGAATAGAGCAAGAAGAGAGAGAGAAGAATATGACATTGGGACAGATCAGGAAACTTCACAGTGAAGTCTTTCTATAAAAATCTAGCTGTTGCTGAGACACTGAGATTCCTTGAGGCTAGAGTTTGGAAAACAGAAGCTCACCCAAAAGTAGTCTTTATGGTATGGACAGCTACATTGTTTGAATGCTTAACAGCGGATAACCTAGCAAGGAGAGGAATCAAGGTGAAGAGGAAATAGAAGAAGTGTATCATTTATTCATTCACTGCAAGTTTCCAAGGTGTTTGTGGCAATAAGTTAGGAGTTATTGGAGCACAATTATAGTTCCAATTTCCAAAGGACTTTGGAAGCATTGTTATGGAGCTGGTAATTGAAAGGATTAAGCAAAAGGGGAAAATCATAAGGGAGGTAATGTCTTTGGGAGTGGAATGGACCATATGGACAAAGAGAAATTTGGAGCCTTTTGAGAACAAAGCCAATATAGAAGATTCAATGGTGAAGATTTTATGGAGCAAGATATATTCATAGGTGGCAATTGCTTCGAGGACATACCACTATAGTTCTTTTTTCGAATATACTTTTTGTATCTAATCAAACAAAGTAGATGCTGTACAAAATAATTGTCATTCTTGCACATTGCCTTATTGTGCAGGCATACATTTTAAAAATATTGATTATGAATTAATGCAATACTTTTACCCTTTCTCAAAATTAAAAGAAAAAGTTCTGGGGACAGATGGCATTATCACCTGGTCTAATCATCCCATCTAGTTTAATGTGGTTCTTAGATACTACTTTTTCCTTCACCATATCCCCATCGTTTCTAATTGCCCAGTGTCTGCTATCAATATTGATCTTATACTTATTCTCCCTCATGTTGGAACAAAACTTAGAGATTTTATTTGCCATTAATACCACCCCAGCTACCTATGGAATTCCCAAAACATAAAAGAAACATAATCCTTAGCTGGAAAAATCATTGAAGACATTGCGTTCACAACCAAGGCAATGAAGGAAAAGAAAAGGTTAAGAGTATATTGGGAGCAACGGTAAGCTAGTCCCAATCTTGAACATCTAAACCATTCAAGGCGTGCTTCAGCATTCACATGTCATAGACACAACTCCCTAGGCATGTTTAGGGACCAACCAAGTATTTGAAATCTACTCTTTTAAAACTAAATTCAAGTCTTTCTCCAATTTAATATTTAAATTCTATTTCCCTAATAACAAATTGACAATACTAGGCATAATGTACTATCATGGAATAAAATGCTTGACCAAGATAAGCAATCCTCATTATTTAACTACATGTTTTTACATGGAAAAAGTTCCAATTTGGTATGCAGACTTACATCATCACAAGATTCCATCAATTTTAGATTCATCATACATGTAAGTTCTAAGAAGTACAAATAACAATCCCAACAACTTTCAGCTAAAGTTTATGCAAATGCAGAAAGAAAAGCCTAAAAGGGCCCAAAAACCACAATCAGATGCCCATACCTCCTCCTTCCCTGGAGTGCGCTTCCTCTTTGACTTGGTCACTGAGGTTTCTTCAGGTTGAGCTTGATCTCTTTTTGATGTCTTGGCTGCAGCCCTAGGTGAAGAAACTATTTTCTGTACAATTCATAACAACACGAATTTATCAGCCTAGAGGTTGGAAAAATAATTTTACCACCATGTGTTATCCACTTAGAGACAACTTCTCAAAAGAAACACATGATTGGAAAAGAACAACCAAGACCAGCAAAACTGTAAAACAACAATCACCAAACCCTCAAAATAGTACCTTGTTACTGGCTTCTTCAACCACATCCTTTTCAGAAACAGATTTGCCCTTACCCTGCTTTTTTTTTCCTTCTTGCTCCTTTCCTGATGATTCATCTTCATGTGCATTTTTCTCATCTACTTTTTTATTAGACTTCCTCTGAGATTTTGCTTCTGAATCACTTGTACGCACAGACTCCTTGGCAATATCCACAGGAGCAGGAGTTTTATCACTAGCATTCCCAGATGATGCTTTTTTACCTGAGCGTCTATGTGGTTTTGCTTCAGAATCACTTGTAGCCTCAGACTCCTTTTTTGAGATTGCAGCAGTAGAAGGTTTTGCTTCATCCTCATCATGATCACTTGGCAAAACTTCCTTTGGAACAGAAGGTGATCCTGGGTCAGCTTCCTGACTTGTGCTCTCTTTCTTCTTTGGACCTCGCCGGCCCCTTTTGGAGCGACTTCCATCAGTAAGGTTCTGGCTTGGGGGTGAAGCAACATTTGCAACCTCACCCTGTGATCCTGTCGGAGAGGATAACTGCACCTGAGTTTCCTTTTCCTGTCCAGATGGCACAGCTTCATCCTTAGTAGATGGGCCTTCTGAAGGCACATTGTCAGTTTCCTTACTGTGACCCTTTTCACGATCAAGCATCTGCACAGCTTCTTTCTCACCGTCAGTCCGAGAAGGATCAGAGGCCTCTGCCGGAGCCATCAAAGTATTAGGTTTTCGACCCCTTGTTTTCTTAGTAATCTGATCAGATTTTGTTTCTGATTTAACAACCTTCTGAGATTCTAAACCATCAGTCTCAGCTTTTGGTGCTCCATCACTACTTTTAGATTGATTAACACGATGACAACGATCAAGCTTCTTTTTAGGGGATTGTGGCTCTGCTGTAGAGTCGTCTGTCACAGCCCGAGCAGTTCCATTGCTCATCACTGATTTTGGTGCTTTCTCCATGCCAGAATCAGATGTTCCAGGACAAGCCACTTCTTGTGAAACCTCTTTAGCTACCTGATGAATGACCAATTGAGTTTTAAATGGTTTTTCCAAATAAACACGATATGATTGAAAGCAAAGAAAAAGGAAATAATGCTTGTACTATCCAATAAAGTTACATGCCTGCTGTGGCTCATCTGAAACATTCCTTTCTGACAGTTTGCTCTCATCTGCCTGAATCAAGTTAATGATGCAATCGGTCAGACGAACCAACTACAACAGCTAGATATGACAAAACTAATAATGGAAAAAATATATCAATTCTCAAATCATTCAACAAATGTTATGCCACAAAAAGAATATAAGTTAAGAGAGATCAAATAGTGTTTACCCACTTGCAGTTCACAAAATGATATCATTACATTCTGTGAAGAAAGAAAGGAAGAACAGGAATTTAGAGCACCTTATTAAGTGCTCCAAATGTATCTCAAACATGAAGGTCAATTTTGGCAAAGCTGTATTTCTGGAATGAACTTTATTTGGGTATCACTCACATACTACACATTACATGGGACTCGGAGGTGCGATAGAGCAGGGTGCATGCAGGCCCGCTGGCCAACCATGAAGAGCCTGTGATTCTGTGGGTTATGTCCCATGCCTCCAAATTAGAGGAGATGCCTAAGTGACCATTTCAATTACTGGCTCATCAGCAGTGGAGTGGCCATCACATTATTAAGGACTCTCATTAGGAGATAACACCAGATCTACTGTTTTTCCATTCTACATTTCATTGGGGGGAAGAATCACTTTAACTAAATCAGCCTTTGCCAATATTCACATATACTATCTCTTGTGACATTTGTGGACTTATATGGATCTATAGATCTTTGGGGAATATTGGCAAAGGCTGATTTAATACATCTGAATGGGTGGTTAAAAAGGCTGGGATAGGGTTATAATTGGGAGCCCCACCATAAATCTGTCCAAAATATAATTCTATTCCCAATGCCAACACTGAATCTCAAAAAAGAAGGAAAAAGGTATTATCTCAAAGGCTAGACAGAGGAAACTCTGTACAAATTCAGCTTGTTGTCCCACCCATTTAGATGTATTCCCTATTTGCTTCAAACGATGGAAGTCCAAAGCTTAATTAATTGTTCAGGGGGAACCGTCAATAAGTGCGAGGTTTCTTTCCAAAATATGCCCAATCCCCAAACCTCCTTCCTTCTCGGGTTTTCAAACAACCTTCCAACTAACTAGGTGTTCCCTTTTGCTTGAACTTTCCCAAAGAAAACCTCTCTGCAGCTTCTCAATTGGGAAGGAGGTAATACTTGGGAGGGCTTGGGCAGGGGTTTAGTCAAAATTTAAATAGGCCCGGCCCAGAAACCGGGCCCAATGCAGTGTAAAATATTAAAGCCGGGTATCCAATTTCCCCTACTCTTGATAGGCACTCCACCGTATGATTTCTCCAAGTTAATAAAGACCAAGTGGAGATTTCTTCTCTTCTCTCTAAGCTTCCCCATCAATTGTCTTAGTAAGAAGATAGCTTCAATGGTTATGGTTCATCTTCCAGGAATGAAGCTGAACTGGTTCTCTGAAACCCTAGTTTCTTGTCTTGCTCTTTGCTCCTTCACTCCAAAAATGTTTTATAGTATAACTCAACAATTTAATCCCTTAATAGTTTTTTCTATTTTTTTTTCTTTTGACAAAGGCTAACAATTTCATTCATCAAAAAGAGAAAGTACATGAGAGTATGTACACACAAAAAACACAGGGTTTAACAAAAGAAAACAAAAGCCCTTTCAAACATCAGGAAACTTTCAATACTACACAAGAACGTCCTCTCAGAACCTGACTTAGCTAAATAATCAGCTCTTTGATTAATCCCTTCACGCTTATTGCAATTTTTTGTCTCCTTTACTGTATATAGGCACCATGGTACTTTTCATCCATTTGCTTGGCATTTTCTGTCTTTCCAATTTTGATGAAACATTTATGTTGAAGGGCACCCACAAATTTACAAAACTCTATAGGTAGTTAGGTACACCATCTAGATCCAAGGACTTCGGCTCGGCTCGCCAAAAAAGTGTTAGGTTCAAGCTTGAGCTCGAGCTCGATTCAAGCTAGAGACTTGAGCTCGAATTTGGCTCGACTCAAAGCTTGGATGTTTGAGCTCAATTGAGCTCAGATGCTCTATAAAAAAATAAAAATTATTTTTATTAAAATTTATTTATTATTATATATAAAAAACAAAACTATTATTATACATATAATACATATATGTATATATGTATTAGGCTTAATTAGGCTCGCGAACCTAATCAGCCAAGCTTCATTGGGCTCGAGCTCGGCTCAATTAGCAAACAAACCTATATATTGAGTTCGAGCCCGGTTTAAACCGAGCCAAATCGATCTTTTCACGAGTCAAGCTCGAATAGCTCGTGAAAAGCTCAATTCATTACCACCCCTAAGATTCAAGGGTATTTCATGGTCAGCACCCAAATGGTATACTAGCAGGCACTTAGACGAGACATGCTTGGACCCTGACTAAAAAGATTTCATGTCCTCTTGCTAATAGAACTATCTCCCCCCCCCCAATCCTTTCCAACAAGCAATTTGGATAGGACCTACACCTCTCATAATAAGGGTTTTTTGTTGGAATTTGAAAAGTGGATCATCAAAAGATCAGTATCAAAGTAATGTTTTAAAAGCGCAAGGGGAAATTTGTGCCTGAGGTGCACACCCTTTTGTTAGCAAAACGAATGAAAAAAAAAATCAAAAATGTCAGAAATTTTCAAAAAAAATGCAAAAAAATAAAAATATTAAACATAAAATTAATAAAAATATAAACTTAAATTTTAAAATATATGTTTTAAAAAACCTATTATCTAAAATTAAAATACATAAACATAACGTGTAAACTATATTCAAATGAAAATTTAAAAATAAAATCAAACATATAAAACATTTTTTTGATAAATAAATGAACTTTTTATTAATTTGGAAAAATTAGCACATACAAGCAAGCCCATGGAGAGGCATGAGCTGCAATCTCTCCACTAAAGAAGAAAACAAAAGTAATAAGTTACAGTTGTGCCCAATACAAAACTTCCCTAGCTGCCCCTTGCTTGGCTAGACAGCCCGCCATAGCATTTGCTGATCTCCCCACCCATTGTATTCTTAGGTCCATGTTTCTTGTCAGCACCATAAAATTTTTAATTTCATTCCTGAAGCACCAACTTACTGACTCTGGGTCTTGCAACCAGCTTATTACAACCTTTGAGTCACCTTCAACTATAAGCTGGTTCACCCCTAATTGAGCTGCAAACTTTACACCTTGCAGGGCAGCAAATATTTCTACTCTAGTAGAGTCTCCCACTCCTAACGGACCTGAGAAGATAAATATCACATTCCCGACTTCATTCCTCAACACCCCACCTACAAAAGAAGGACCTGGGTTTCCTAGACTGCTTCCGTCAAAATTCAACTTCAAGAAGCCTGCAGGAGGTAATGACCAGCTTGTTCTCACTTTAATCTTGGAAGAGGAACAACTTACCACTGCTGCCCGATTCTTCCAGATGTCATTAAAGGAGAATTGGTGAAAAAAACATAAAAAACATTTTCAAGCATGTAAAACCCACAATCTCTTTTTTTCCTCAATTTGATTACTTCAAATAGCTAATGGTTTTTTTAAAGAGTAAGGTATCACTAAAAGAAAAAGAGCATAAGCTGTATACAACCAAAGGTGCTAAGAAGACACCCAAAAACATTAGAGAACCCAGATCGACTACATGTAAGAGACAGATTTGGCACAAAACTAGAGACAAATAGCTAATGTGATGTAAAACATTTTGCATTCCTGTTTCCTGATTCTACGAGCCACCTTTGTACCAAGCCCCTCGAGGCAAGCCCAAACAAGTCCATGTTAGGGTCTTAAATTCTTAATCCTCACACAAAAAAATGATTTTATAATTTTAATTGCCTTTTAAGAAGATATTTTGTTAGGACGAATGAATGAACAACATTAGCAAGGCACACCAGACACACGACTTTTGAAAATGTCGTGCCTAGGGCCTAGGCGAGACGCATACCTTAAAATTTAGGGGTGTTTAAGCTAATTTGGTTCAGTTATAATTCAGATATCGGTTCAGTTTGGTTTTTATTTTCTAAAAAATTGGTTCAGTTTCAGTTCGGTTTGATTGAGATTTTCAACCGAACCAAACCGAAAACTGAATTAGTGGCTGTATTTAATTAAGTATATTAAATATATAATATTTTATTCAATACTTTATACTCATTAATTAATAATTATTATCTTTTCCAATGGGCAATGATCAATTCACAATTCCCCATTGTGCTTTGGGCGGTTGGGCCTATAAAAAGCTTTTAATTAATATAATAGTTAATTAAATAACCTAGAGACTCTAAACAACTAGAGTATTAAAATCTAGACTAATTATTAATTATTCATTAATTGTTTGTGAAGAATGAGTGCAGTTGCTTTAATAATTAGTCATTCAATTGCTCATTAAATGACAGTAGTTGTATTAATTGTTCATTAAAACCTAGACTAAAGATTAATAGCTAATTGTTCGATAATTATTAAACCAAACAAAAAACCGAACCGAACTGAATTTGGTTAGGGTCGGTCTGGTTCTAAATTATAGTCTGGTTCAGTTCGATTGGGTGAGATGGTCAAACCAAATAGTCAGTTAGGTCTTTGGTTCCAACCGAACCGACCGATTGTACACCCCTATTAAAAGGTGCCACGCCTGAGTGCCTAGGCACGTCTGAGGTGCACCTTTTAAATCGCTGTACCTGAGTGTGAGAGCATAGACATGCACAACACCACCCACAAACATCAGTAGGTATGCAAATCGCACAGTTCAAGCTGGATAGACTTGTGAAACACCATTTACAAAACCTAGAACAAAACTCAAGTATGAAAGTGAAATGAGTTCCGCACACCCCCTCAACACCAAGCGCATAAAGAGGCACACACGAGACTAGGAAAGGTATGTGTCATAGTACTACCATGTCCCATGGGAATTAAATCATAACCAACCAGGCTGACATGGCATAACTGATTAGCATGCCGCCTAACAAGAGATACAGCTCCTAACAAACGTAAATGTCGTGCCCTTAATAAAAAAAAAGATATTTCGAGATATTTGAAGACATTTATGAGAAGAAAACAAAGAAGAATAAAGAAAAAGAGCAATTCTAGAAAGGTCCAAGCACAACAGACCAAGAGTGACGATAAAAAGGGGAACAGATCCCCAAGACAAACAAGTTTTTCTAGGCAACAGAATACCTAGCTCAGTCTTGGTCTCAGTCCCCTCTTTTCAAAGTCTTCAACCAGCCCTAACTTCGGTTACTAGTTGTAGCCTTCGGCCCCACCTCTAGCCCACCATTACAAGGGTTGGCCCAACCCCCAGCTCATCAGACCAAGACAAACCAACCCAAGCACATCTCACCACCACTTTTAGGGATTCCAGACTGCCTTAACCTACCTAATCCCCCTACACTGGAAGTCCTACAAAGAAGAAGGCTGAAGTGGGTATTATCACCTCATATGTTTTTCTTCTATTAGACAAGCAGTGGAACAATTTTCCACTTACTAATCTTCTATGTATATGGCAAAACTTTCTTGAGAAATAAATGCAAGGATTTTATGGAGGTCAACAAGAGCTGCAATTTTATGGCCTATATGGAAAGAAATAAACGCAAGGGTTTATATAGAGAAACGTCAGACTCTAGAAGATCTAATCAATTTGATCAAGATAAGAATTATTCATTAGACAAAAAAGCTCTGAAGACCTGTCATGTTTCTCATCTGATGACATTTCAAGAGGTTGGTTGATGGTAGCAAGGAAGCTGAACTTTGATAGCTGCAGTACTGGCAATCCAGCGCCATCAGGCATTGGCAGAATTATAAGAAAACATCTTGGGGATATTGTTACAGCCTTTGTCATGACCTATTGGAAATGCAAATTCTATAGATGCAGAGCTACAAGCGGTGGCACAAGGGCTAAAACTAGCCATGCTTGCAGCACAAAGCCAGGATATGATAGTGGAAAGAGACTCAAAAACAATAGTAGCATGGCTGAAGCAATGTTTTAAAACGTGAAGGTGTAATGCAAGGTGTTCCACTACCTAGAGGTGTAAGCCGTAGTTTTGAACTTAAGAGCTGTAAGCCTCCTGAACACAAGGAGGCTTAAGCCTCTTTAATAGGAAGGGGATGACGAAGAAAAAATAGGAGAGGACGAAGAAGAAGAAGAGGGAGGATCTCATCTTTTTTTTTGTTTTTTTTTTATGAAAAGTGTCTTCTATTAAGAAGAATGAAGATGCATAACACCAGCTGAAGGGGGGGTCTTGTTGAAGCAGAGCCCCTCGCCCAAACTTTCTTTCCTTCCCCTTCCCTTGTATGCTTTTTCTCTTTTTTTCCTTCTCTTTCTTTCTTTACTTTTCATTTCTTTTCCATTCCTTTCTTTTCTATTTTCTTTCTTTTTATCTTTTTGAATGGGGTGTGCATGAGGTGCATGAGACATATGACTCATGCAAGACATATGATGCATGCATCTGGGCCTCCAGGTGTACACCTCCCACACCTTTTGAAACATTGGGCTAAAGAGAGACATGGATAGCCCCTGAGACCTGAACTTAAAATAATGGAATCAAGATCAATGTCTAAGACTACAACCAAAAATCTGTTGGGTGCCTAAATCAGCAAACTCACTGGCTGATACCCTGGCATGTGGAGGAGTAAATAGGCAGGATTTAAGGTAGGGAAAGTACCCTCTGGAGTAACCTGTAACTGTAAGTTGTCTGAGGTGGGACTTTAAATGGAGAAACACATATTTGTTTTGTATGAGGTAACAAACTATCATGAGGCAAGAGACTCTGGAACATTTATTGATCATTTGCCTTTTTATTTATTACATTTGGAATTCTGGTTTTTCAATGTTTAGTCTGTACCAGGTGATGAAAGGAAGCTTCAGTGGCATGATGTCTACTTGGGCATGCCTATACAGTCTTAAGCAAAAGATGCCTTTTCTGGCAGATTGAGGACAAGAGATCTCATGATACTGCAAGGAAGCTAAGATGAAATAATCTAAAATCAACCTTAAACCTTTAAATTGTATAAAATACAATATACAAACATGAAGAGAGTATGCATGCAATAAAATATTTTCCAAACAGAGAGGTCAGCTTTCGACCAAGTTAACAGGTTTCATGCTTCTCTCAGGTGATTCCTTATCACTTTCCTTGTACTAATTTCTTTTAAAGAATTTTCTTTTACCTTCAAAAAAATGTAAACAGGTTTGAGGCAATTATTGGGACATGCCAGTACATCCTCACTTCCAAAGCTCAACTGATCAAAAATGAAATTTGTTTCACCATAATAAGGGAAGCACCATCCAACATCCAATTACCTAATTCACTCCCAAACCTGGGGAAAATTCCTTGCAATTAGGAGTACAGTGGGTGTGCACTTCCACTTTTTAATTCTACCATCCTAGTAAGGGTTTACTTGGTTTCACAAAAAACAAAAAGATATTTTTATTATTGGAGAGTCCAAATGGTATAAGCGTGATAATATTAACAATGTACAGAGGAAATAACATAATTTGAATTTGATTACTCATCAAAAAACATAATTTGATTTTTGAAGAGAACCATTTAATTGGTTTGGTTTCCATCTAGAAAATATTTTCAACCATATATAGGCATAGCTACTAGGCATTAGAAACAAAGGACCACCTAATCTCACCTAGGTAAATTATCTTCCAATAACAAGGCATTCAAAAATCAAGGTACAAAATAGGAAAATGGTGCCAATTAAGGCGGGTAAATAAGATTGCTGTCAGTGTTCATAACCCAAAAAGAAAGAACTGATAGGCAAGAGGGGATTAACAATTTCATTATCACCAACTATGCTGATTAAGAACTATATAGAAAGGAGCTAGATGCCTACCAATTGTTCACCAGAAGCATTGGTATCATTATGCTCAACAGTATCAGATGTCTCTTGGCATATAGATGTGACAATTTTACTGTAATCGTTCAAAGAATTGCCCATAGATTGCACTGCTTGCATCATATATGGTCTAAGTTTGGCAGCACAGTTTTCCATTACTTTTTCCCCCAGCTTCCTTGCAATAGGAAGAACATCCTGAAATAGGAAAAAAACATTATCAATAAAACAAGACACAAAAAGAGAAAAGAAAAACTGAAACACACAGAATAGAATATCATGTAAAACAATGAGTAGACCTGATTTTCCTTCTTCACGCTAGCTAAGAGAGGAGAGAGAAGCTCAGGTGAGATATCTTCACTTTCCTCTAACACCAAGCTCATTATTGTCTCCATGGAAGAAAATACATTTTCTGGATGGTCCTCCCTGAAAGTTGCACAAAAAAGAGGTCACCCAGGTCACTTAGAGAGCATATAGAAGAAAATAAGTGCAATGAAAACACACTGCAATTATGTCACCCAGATATGGTGTCAATATAGCTAGACGAGATTACAAGAAGTCATCACTATGCCAAGTTTACACTAAAAAAATGAAGCTATCAACATAATATGACACTCTTTTACAGGCATGTAGATGTAACAGCAATGCAGTACAGACACCAAATTCATTTTCTTGTACATTGCATCTTATACCAGACATCTGGAACATTTTGCCAGTTCAAGTGGTTCTCCCAATACTGGGCCCACTGCATTACATTCCAGGTGCTTTGCACATGATGGACACTCATGCCTGGGGGAAAAAGAAACTCCATCTTTAACATTACTTGTTGACTAAAAACTAAAAATAAGGCATAGTTCCACCCAAGTGAACCCTCAGCAGCATGCCCAACTTTTGTGTATCAAACAAAAGGGATGGCAACAGAGGAGTGGTATTAAGCATCTGCATAAGGAATTGAGCCATGTGTCCTTAAACTAATAAAATTATATTTGTTGAGAAATGCTGAAAACTTGACAAGAAGAATAACGTAATAATGGGGAGAAAATCAAAACTCTACCCTTCTGTTAGACACATATTTGTAGTTTCCAAAGTCCAATGACTTTCTTTTGAAAGGAACAATAAAATTTCATTGGATCTAACATCCACAATGATCAAAAAATAAAGCAGCAGGGTTAAGCTGATACAAATGAGATTAATGATAGTACAATACTAGCTCCTATTTTCATGGAGCCCTAATTACAGAAATTAATGGATATTACAGATTGCAACCCAGCCCTGGACATCCCCATTCAACAAACTCATTCCTTGCCAGCCCTGCCCTGGCTAGAGTCTGCTGTTCAACTAGCACCTCATGGCACCTAGTTAAATGACCTATTCAATATGGTGCTCAAGGACTGTGCCTGTCTCACCATCAGCCTGACTTACCAAGGAATCGTATCTTGTTTTCTCATCCAAAGGCTCAAACTCCACATTCTTCATTCCTTCCATATTCTCAGTTTTAACCCATGAATCAAAGCATGCAGTTCAGCCCTAGAGAATTTCCAACATCAATGGACCCAGGAAAGCTAAGTACCATGTGTCCATTGTGGTTCCCTGATTATACTCCCAATACCTGAATCTCCTGGATTCCCAAGGCCCATCAAAATTGAATTTTGAGTTTGCCCATTACTGCTACATTCCTTTCTGATACAGATCATGAACCTCAAGGGTGTTGACACAGAACTTACGTCCAATTTCTTTTCAGAAAAATAAATGCACAGCACTACAGCTATTATTTGAATCTTACTACTTGATTCAAATCTTATGACTTGTCTAATTCACATGATTCTAATCAATTCAACTAGGATTTTTTTTCTTACAAATCAACCAGAACAAAGTTCCATACATTGGCATTTCTTATATTTTTTTAATGGCACTTTGTTTTAAAACTACTATATTAGAATTATTTAGGTTATTTAAAACCAATTTAAAGATGCTTTGAGTTTATTTTTCATGATTCCATTATATGTATTGTAGGTTAAAGAGCATGACTAGCTGTATAAGTGGGTTAATTGGCTTTTCCAACTGATATAATTTGAATAAAATCAACTACGACTTTTTCATAACAAAAGACAAATTTATTAAAATAAAAAGATAAAACATTGTTTTAAAGCCACTRAAGGACTATAATTATTTAGGTTATTGAAAACCCATTTAAAGACATTTGTGAGTTTACTTTCCATGAYTCCAAGGCTAAAGACCTTATATAACTGTATAAATGCATTAAATAACAAGTCAATCCTGATCATATCATCCCAAGCTTCTCGTGTATAAGTGGTAAACTAAGGTGTATTAAATACATATAGGGTGATTATGGATTATTAAAGATATAAAAAAAACTCTTTTCTCTGTATATTTAAGCTTTAGTGACAGGTTTTTAATATTTCTAAAAAATAAAAATAGTCTTACAATTTACACTATGATTCATGATTCAATTCAATTTAATCTTCTCTAAACTTTAGAATATGACTATAATTTTCAGAACAATGCACCTATCCCACAGCTATGGCTTAGGATACAATCAGCTGTCTTTTTTTTTATCAATAACTTTGAAACTTTTATTGATTAAAATACTTTAAGATACAACAATAAGTTACAAAAGAAATCAGCATAGTAAGCTGACCCAGTACAGAATTATAAATGTGCCCAAAACATACATGTTCTTTGAACCCCTTGCTTTGCTAAGCTATCGGCCAAACTGTTGGCAGATCTCCTTACCCATCCCACCTGAATTGACATGTTCCTTGACATCTATTTAAATCTTCTGAAATCATTCTTCAACTGCCATCTCACCCCTTCCCCTTTCTGCAACCATCTTATCACAGTTTTTGAATCTCCCTCGATGATCAGTCTAATGATCCCCAACTMTTTAGCCTTCTCAACCCCATATACTGCAGCTAGAAACTCTGCCCTTGTCACATCACCTACCTCCACAGGATCAGAGTACAGGGCAATGATGGAACCATTTTCGTCTCTAATGGCGCCCCCAATACCTGAAGGGCCTGGGTTACCCACAACTCCCATCAAAGTTTAGCTTCTTCAAACCATCTGTTGGAGGGGACCAAGTCTCAACAAACTGTCGCCTCATAGATGATGAAGCAGCAATAAGTCCCCAAACCCTGAATAAATCTTCAACCTTAAAGGTTGAAAACAGCTTCAAACTTTTTACCCAATGAGCCACCCTCAATGTTATTGTTTCAACTAAAGCTACCTTGCATTTCTCTTTACTTTCAAATATCCTATTATTTCTTTCCTCCCAGATGGTCCAAAGTATTGCTGCTCTAGTACACCTCCAAAGAATCCTTCCCCTCCTTGTCTTACCACTGATACCATTAGGGTTGAATAAGCCTTCCACCCTGTCAGGAGAGGACCACCTGCACCCAAAAAGGGAAGTAAACCAATTCCAAATAAAACTGACTAAAGGGCAAAACATAAGAAAGTGGAAAACAGTCTCACCATTCAATTTACACAGGACACACCAGTTAGGAGACAAAAACCAATTTGGTCTTTTCCTTTAAAGTATATCAAAGGTATTAATACAACCATGAAAAACTTCCCAACAAAAAGCACTGATTTTAGGGGGATAGAAGGGCACCAAATTTCTTTGATTGGAAAATGAAAATAAGATTGTGTGGCAACCATCGAGCGTAGAAAGGATTTACAAGAAAAGGACCCTTCGACATTGGGACCCCAAATTCTAGAATCTGACCCACCTTCCCCCAAAAAAACTGAACTCAACAATCCTAGCAGCTCGGACACTGCAAGAAGTTCAAACTCTCTAAGGTTACTGTTAAATCCAAAGTTCCAATTCAACCCTGGAAGGTGAGATGGTTGACTTAGGAACTCTGAAATAGGCTTACCCTTGAACCTGGACAGGTCATAAAGAGAAGGAAATTTCTCACCTAAAGGAATATCCCCGATCCACACATCCTCCCAAAATCTGATTTTTCTACCAGAAGACAAGTCATACCTGATAAAATTTAGGAATGTAGGGAGAACATCATGGATGGCCTTCTAGGGAGCAGCCAAGTTAGCCCTACAAAGACATCTAGCATCCCATCCATTGCTTGACATGCCATAAATGCTTGCAACCACTCTGTGCCATAATTTCTCATTTTCATTTGGAAACCTCCAAAGCCATTTGCTAAGCAAAGCCTGATTCTTGAGTCTAACATTCCCTATTCCCAAACCCCCTTCCTCTTTCAATTTCCTCACATTTTCCCATCTAACCAAATGATACTTCTTTTTTCCCCAAGCTCCCAGAGAAAATCCCTCATGATTTTTTCAATTTTCCTCACTATCCCTTGTGGCATCCTAAACACTGACATGTAGTACACTAGGAGATTTGCTAAAGTGGATTTAATTAGGGTTATTATCCCCCCCTCAATGAGATTATAGTTCCTTTTCCATGCCGCCAAACGTTTCTCTACCCTTTCCACTACCGGAGACCAAAAGCTAGCGGATCTAGGGTTATCTCCAAGGGGTAAACCCAAATATTTCATTGGCTACTCACCTTTCTCGCAACCTAGGGAATTTGCTAGAACTCTCACTTCATCCTCTTTGATATTGATTCCAACCAATAAACGCTTTGCCCAATTAATCCTCAAATTAGACATCATCTCGAAGAGTTTCACAACCAACCTCAAATTTTCCACTCCCTCCCTGTTTTCTCCATCACAAAAAATAAGAATATCATCTGCGAACTATAAATGAGTGACTAACACATTATCCCTCCCAACTAACCAACCCCTGAATAATTGCACACCATTTGATTTTGAAATCAATTTGCTTAGGGTTTCAACAAACAGAGTAAATAGAAAAGGAGAAAGAGGGTCACCCTACCTAAGTCCACGAAATCCTCAAAGAAATCATACATTGTCCCATTAACTATTATTGAAAAGTGACTAGTTTGTAGGCATCCCATGATCCATTTACACCACAAATTTCCAAATCTACATTTCTTCATAATTTCAATCAAGAAGTTCCAATCCACTAAGTCATAGGCTTTTTCCAGATCCAGTTTGATAGCCACTCCCTTTCTCTTTAATCTCTTTTGAGCCTCCATGCATTCATTGGCAATTAAGATTTGATCAATAATCTATCTATCCTGCACAAAGGCCCCTTGAGCTTGAGAAACGATTGGGGAGATCACCTTTGTAATCCTCAGAGACAACACCTTTGCTATCACCTTATAAATACTAGTGACTAGACTTATTGGCCTGAAATCCCCTGGTTGGTTGTATTAGTCTTCTTTGGGATTAGAGTTAAAAAAGTAGAATTCATTCCCAGACTTATCACCCCTCTCCTATGGAATTCATTAAATACTCTAATCAGATCTCCTTTAACTATGTCACAACAATCTTGATAAAATGCCATTGTGAAACCATCTGGTCCTGGTGATTTTGATCTATTCATAGAAAAGATTGCTTCCTTAATCTCTCCATCTTCAAACTTTTTTTTCCAAAAATTGGACTTCAAACTCCTCCAAAGTCTCCCAAACAAAGCCTTCAATCCTCCACCTTTCAATTAAGGGTCTTCTGTAAATAGAACTAAAATGCTCCGAGAATGTTTTAGCAATCTCCTCTTGGTCCGTGATCTCGTTTTCTCCCACCACTAAAAAAGTAATCATGCACTTCCTTCTCCTTCCATTTGCAATGGCATGGAAAAATTTTGTATTTCCAATTCCTTCTTTGATCCATCCCTCTCTTGACATTTGCTTCCAGCATATCTCCTCTCTCAATAAGGTCTCCCCTAGCTTTCTTCAAGTTCCATCTAAGCTCCTTTTCACCTTCAACTAGAGTTCCTTCTACCTCTTTTCTATCTAATGCCTCTATATGAGAAATCAAATCAACTAACTTCTCCTTCAATCTCCCAAACCTCTCCCTATTCCACTCCTTAATCTCCTTTTTCAACAATTGAAGCTTCTTTAGGAACTTTTGTCCTTCCCACATTGCAGGTACAGCCATACTATTCCACCAAACCTTGACTTTCTCTTTAAATTCCGGATGAGTGAGCCACATATTTTCAAATCTGAATGGAGTTGGGCCACCATCATTGATTCTCTCAAACAAACAGATAGGCCAATGATCTGAGGTGATTATTGGTAAATTTCTCCCAATTATCCCTGGCCAATGCTCTTTCCAGTCAGGTGAAACTAAAAATCTATCAAGCTTGGAAAGAATAGGGGATAAGATAATGCCCACTCTATAGTCGCTTCAACATCCAAGACTTAGATTATGCCCACTCTGTAAGTGGCATAAGTTTCTTGTGTATATTAATGCAATAAACAGGCTAAGTTATCCCAGTTTTGTGAAGAATTTCAACTTGCAATTAAAACAGACTGTAACAATACAAGACTCCAGAACAAAACACAAGACAAAACAAACAAAGTAACCCAGCATATACATGATAGTCAGTAGAAAGGTTTCTTCTCACATTAAGATTAAATGATCAACAGAAAATACAATGAGCAACAAAATACTATATTCTTACCTAATAGCTTTCAAAAAATGTTGGAACATCTCAAGAATCAATGAATCACATTCAAGGTCCAGCATCACAACACATGACCGAACCTTTGCCACAGTCTCAAGTATGGAAACCCTCTTTGAATATGAACGACCTGACATCTCAAACAGTTTCTCAAATGATGCAACAATCAGTTGAAAGATTTCCTGCAGAGGAAAGAATAATGAGGAGAAGAAGATTTTAATTCAGAATGCGCAGATGGATAGTACAAAATAAAAAGGAAAGGGAAAAAACTAAACCAAAAATTGCAGAATACATAGCTGCAATGCAAACCACTAAAAATAGGGCACACAAATTAAATCACGTCACTCAATAAGATAGTCCTATTACCTTCATTTGATCATCATCATAGGGAGCATCTGGAGCTGTTATTCTTGTGATCTCACTGATACAAGATGCCACTGCCACTTTCACATCCATGTCTGAATGCCTCAGGAGCTCAATAGCAACCAGCGCCTTCAATGAGGGACAAAGTGCAGCTTGCATTGACTTGGATGGTGATTGTTCCACCCTTGACAAATAATTCTCAACTTGCTAAAAGAAATGCACATGATAGCAGTTTGAAGAAGAGAGAACAGACACGTTAGCCATTGAAACAAAAAAAAAAAGGATCTATACTCATATGTACATACAGACGGATATATGTACATATGTATTGATTGATTGATAACCTGGAAAAATAATTATTTTGGATATTGATCAAAATATTTACTCAATAACTTTTCCCCTGGTTATCAATCCAATTATATATACATACGAGCAAGAGAGGAAGATGACAAGGAAAGGCCGCACAATAAGTTCAGCAAACTTGCCAAGTTCCCTAATGAAGAGGATTGAACATTCATAATCAACATGAAAATTTAACATCAACACAAGAAAAAAAAATAGAAAGTTAAAAACTTCAGACTAGAATTTCATATTAAAACAATATCCTTGAATGCTCAAAGGTTATTGCAGTGGTGACAAAATTTTAGCAAAAACATAAAAAAGACAAGAAAATAGAAGCATTGTAACTGATCCAATGCACCAAAAGAAGAAAGAGAAAATAGAGCAACAGCAACCAACCATGCATATTAGAAACAAAAAAAAAGGCAAGGAAAATGTGAATCTAGCCTATATTCTTCCTGATAGGCTGACATGAGATGAGAAAGGTCACAATTATAACTGAAAGTGAGTATACAGCATTTCTTATCAACTATTTTCCATGTCAAAGCAAACAGATAAGAATTATTGACACATTGGTGGCTTCTCATGACCTTTCATTTCACAGATCACAGCCACCATAATTAAGAGTTCTTTCCTCTCCACTTTGTATTGTTTGTGGTTAATTTCCTCAGACACCAAACATGAAACCATTAGTAAAAAATAACTAAGCACTTTTCCAGTTTGCACAGTGATTGTTTTTCTATTTTCTTTGTGAAAAGAAAATTAATTCATCAAAACGATGAGACTGTAAGTGAGTGCAGCAAAACTGACCAAAGTAAGAAAAAATTTTACCAGAACTCAATTCACATGAATGACAATTTTGATTAGACCCCTCCCGAGAAAGATAGAAACAAACAAGTCTGTTGCTTTTAACCATGTCCTTCAACGGTTTATCAACATACCCAAAAAGAAACCAGTGGAAATGTTAAACAGAAGCAACCAACAAATAGGTTGAATTTTCAGGCTTCAAACCATTCACAAAAGTCCTTCCAAATTGGAATTGACTGAACTATGACCTCCTTTTTTCTATTGGCAAACTAAGACTTCCTTTTAAATCAGCAGCATATCCTAGCATGAAAGAAAAGAAAATCATAATGTTAAAAGAGATGCAAGAGGCCCCCTACTGACTAAAGATATCACACTAAGTCCCTTCTTACATAACCTATAAACCATGCCTGTTTTTGAGTTCCATCGTAGATGGTAATAAATCAGGTATGATATGCAGTAGCATACTAGTAGCATATGCATGTGAACATATCAGCCTCTTGCCAAGGGAGTAATTTTGGCATGCAATCAGCAGAAGGTTTTGTCATCTCCAAGACCAAACCAGTTAGATTTTGAAACCATAGCATAGATGTGAGGTAAAGGCATGGCACTGAATAGAGAGGAATGGCAAAACAGGATTCATATAGCCAGCCCCATACAGTGGGAACAAGCTTTTGTTGAGTGCAAGTTCAGCTCGGACGTGAGGTGGAGTTTAAGGAAACGGACACGCTATTTTTTGTATAGAAAATGGAGGAGACCACACTTGTATGAATATTAATTGATTGAGGAATGGATTGAAAATCGGGCAGAGATTTTCCTCTGATCTAATCTAGTGTTTAATCAAAAAGCCTAATGCCAAATCCGGATTTAATAAGACTTGAAAAAGTATTAAAAATCAAATTAAAAAAAGTGTTCAATATATCAAGGGCTCAAAACACTTAGCTGTTACACTCTTGAACAAGCGTCTACAACAAAGAAAACCATCAACACGCAATCAATCTCTGATAGAACAGTTCCTTTTATCGTTGTTAAGAACCCATTCGAGAAAACATCATTGAAGTTACATACCTTAAATTTGGTTCATAAGAGAAATCTGACACTTAAATTCAGTTCAGGAAGTAAGAAGAAAATATAATATACGAACCTCTCAGACCGCTCTATTTAATAAAATAAAACTCATCAAATATAGAAATCTCACTGAGACAACCCAGATATCCAAATTATATAAGGAGGTGCAAATTACAAAGAAATCCGTCAAACAACACAACCCTCCGAAGGGATCCAACCTTCAGAATAAGAAACCAGAGAAGATAAGAAACAAGGGCTTACGTCAAGTAGTAGAAGAAGCTCATTGACCGACGAGGGAGGTTTGAGGAGCTTATCCCCAGCTTCCAATAGCATTTCTTCCAACGCCTTCTCCGAGGACGCCATTTCCTGTTCGTTGCAGATCCTCGAAGCTTCGAGCTCCACTGCTACTTACACCATTGAAACCCTAAACAAACCCTATAAACCAAACCATGGATGTGACAACAGCCCGAGCTAGGGCTCAAAACAGAGCCAGGCCAGAACCAAACGAAAATCTAGGGTTTTGCATCAGAGAAAAACGAAAAGAACCAAGAAACCAACACAAGACCATGTTTGGCCGAGTTTCTCATTGTACCTGTTTTTCCCCTGAGAATTTAAATAAAAATGAATTTTCCATTTTCTTTTCTGTTTTTGTTATCCTCTGTTCTTTCCTTCTCTTTCTCTCTCTTCGACAGTTCTTTGATTATTTCTTTCTTCCCTCGTCCGCCCGCTCGCTCGCTCACTCGCTCACTCGCTCTTGCTTTTTGTATACGAAAATGAAAATGAAGTCAGATTACTACGGAAAATAAAAATGAATGAAATGATGAAATATAAGAAATATTAAAAGTATAAGAGAATCCAGGGATCCGCTCCGGATTCTGCCCGGTTTATAGATTTTGGCTAAACTTTGGCTTTCGAATCCGTCGCAATGAACCTCATCGATTTCTCTCTCGTCGTCACCTTTGGGCGGGGGCTTCTATTTTACGTTGAGATCAGGGCCGACTGAGGGGAGTTCGGCTTCCGTCGGGGCAACGCCCGTTCGAGCAGCCTTTACAGCCTTTGCATCGGGAATATCTCCTATTTATGTGTTTTATTTGATAGAGATATTTTGCATTCAACACTGCAAGTACTGTTGAGACGGTGTAAGAACGAAACCGATCATACACTGAGTATGTCTGTCGTATTATCTTTTATTTAATTTCAACAAATATCCCTTCCATTAACATTCAAATGCGGTGTTTGAGAGATGTTTTAAAAAAAAACGGTGTTAGGTCGGATCCATATAGGCATTTCAACAAGCTCATGTATCTCATTGTTTGGTTCAGCTGTTTGGCCCAAAAATCGTTCAGGTAACCAGTTTCGTTTTACCCAATACCTGGTTTTTAGTCAAAATTGTTAAAAAGTCAACAATCCATTGACTCAGGCGATCGAACCATTGATCCATTGACCCCATTAAACGGTTTTTGACTTTTTTTATTTTTTATTTTTTTATTTTTTTAATTTATTTTTCAGAATGGGCCGTCCATTTGAACCAGATGGTCAGACTATCACCCTGAAAACCAGTAGCCAAAACGATTCCATTTCCGAATCGTTTTTCAAAACGTTGGTATAAGTATGCAGTAGGCTGTTTTTCCAAAAAAATATTTTCTGAACTTTGGTACCCTGAACTTTGAGAGTAGTTTTAAGTTGGCACCTGAACTTTTAAATATGTCACTACTTTGAAAAACTGTCAAGTTAGTCCAAAACCATTAACGGCGTTAAATATCATGTAAAAGGACAACAATGCCCTTCACCCATCATCTAATTTTCTTATGATTGATATTCGAATGCCTCTCCGAATTCTCTAGATTCCCTTTTTCTGCAACCGTGCTCAGAATCACCGTCCAACACTGCCAGAAACGGAAACAAATCAAAAGATTTGGGATGCTAATGGTCAGAATCACTAGATTTTTAGATACACCAAAGGTGTAAACCAAGATTTCTCTGCAATTCCTCCGAGTCTGTGAGAACAAAAGGGATAAAAGAGCTTCAAGAAACTCAATTACAATTGCGCCTCCGTAAAGCAACAGCATCAAGGCTGCAACCGGTTATTCTTTGGACAGTCCAGTGTTGGGCTAGCTTGTTGAGTTCACTGAGAAGGAGACGATGAAACCGGCCTGTACTCGTTGTGCTCCGATCAGCTAGTCTTTGGACAGTCTGGTATCGGAAATAACTGGGCCAACGGGCATTACACCAAAGATGTGCAAAATCTTTTTGACAGAGAACTATGATTGCCTACATGGTAATCCTCTTGGCACCGATTTGGTTGCCGCACTGGCCTTCTTAGATGTGCAAAATCTCATGCATTTTGAACCATAAATGGAAGTAGGCGAAGAGATCTATGACGAAACATGAGTTAAAGCTGATTCTTTTAATTCTCTTATCAAAACAGAGCAAACACCAGGGACGGAAAAATAAACAAACCCAATAAATGAACCTTACCTTGGAGAGATCAAGAAGAGCATTTTCTCTGAGATCAGCCCTTGCCTTAATGGAAGAAGCGCTTGGACCGCCATAAGGAGGGTTGAGCAAAGGTGCTGGGGCAGATTCGCCATCAACGGTCGTGTATCGTTTTTGATACTCGAGTTTTTACTCGGAGTCAAAGGAGAGAGAAAGAGGAGAATTACGTATTCTTTTTATTTTACTCTTATGACTCTCGTCTCATGCATCTTTTTTGAAGGATAGTTTTGCAAAAATTTTAAGTTGTACATGTCATCCCGTGATCAAATAACTAAGGGCCGATTAATAGTAGGACCAACTTGACATTTTTTGAAAGTTTGGGTATTGAAAGTTTGGGTACTAACTTGACACTACCCCATAGTTCAGGGTACTAAAGTAGAATTTCCCTTTTTTCTATTTGGTACCATTATTGTTGTAGCTAGAGGTGTAAAACGATCTATGTCGGGCTTTGCCACCCTCCCCTAGGATAACTTGAGGGTTGTCCTGGCACAGCCCACAGCCCAAGCTTGTGTTGACTCATGCTCTAGCATGCTATGCCATAGGCCAGGCTAGTCCTTAGGCTAGGCTGAGCCGTGAACCGGGCCAAAGCTATATTTAAAACAATTGAAAAAAAAAAACTTAAAATTTTAATTTTATATGAATTTTGATGTATACAATTACTTATATATATAATAATTAAATAAATTAGTATAATAAAATTGAAAATAATTGTTTATTTTATTAATATATTATTATATAATTATAATTTATATAAATATATTATATATTATATTATATCTATATCTTTATTATAATATATATATATGGATCGTGTTGGGCTGTGTCGACATGAAGGCTGTGAGCGGCACAGCCCGCTTGGTCATGCTATGCCAGCCCGGCCCGGCCCGCAGACCTAAAACCCCAAGCCCAGCAAGGCCCCGACCATTGTGCCAGGCCAATCCAAAGTCGTGCTGGGTAGTGGTGTTCATGGGTCGAGTTGGGTCAGTTTGAGTCATTTTCTTCAAACGACCTGACCTAATTGGTTTATTTATTGACTAAACCGAAACTGGTTGACCGTAAAGCAAAACCAACCCAAACATGAAAGGTCAATTTGGGTTGGTTTATCAGTTTAGTCGGTTTTTATATATATTAAACTAAAATATCTATTTATATTTAAGTTTATTTCTTTTTAGTTTTTATGAAAAATCAAAATATATATATTTAAATTGATTAGTTTTTTTATGAAAAACTGTTTTTTTTGTCAATATATATTTAAATTTATACAAAACTGAATTAAATATTGTACCATTGTATTATATTTGTATTGATTTTATGTTTTTAGTTTTTATCATAAATAACCATTTTTTTTTCAAAGTTCAAACAAACACAAATAAAATATATCAACTTTTAGCATATAGGGTAGGGACTAATTAATAATTACTTAAACAGTTAAACATATAGGATCGGTTCGGTTCGGTTTGATTTCAATTTTCATGTATGAAAACTAAAACCGAACCGAGTTGACAGTTTATTTTTTCATACAAACCGAAACCGATCGGTGGTTTAAAAAAACCAACCAACTCGGGTTGGATCGGACCAGTTTGGTCAGTTTGACATTCAATGTGAACACCCCTAGTGCCGAGCCGCAGGCGGCATGGCCAGATTTACACCTCTACTTGCAGCCACATAGACATTTTTCAATACCATGTTAATATACATTATTTGCAATAATGGAAAAAACAAAAAGGCATCAAAAAGGTATTTTTTCAAATAAATTATTATATAAGATGGCTAAAAGGTTAATCAAACATAAGACATTTTTCGAAAAACAGATTTTAAATGTAGTGCTGATGTAGCATCAATTTTAAAAAAACGACATTAATGCCAAACACCTACTAACTTTGTGATTGTTTGAACTTTTTTAAATTCCCAAATTATACTTTTTAATCAACAATTTTTTAGCCTTTTTTTTCAAGGTTATTGGCTTAGCTGATATTAATTGCATGTATATTTGTTGCAATTCCAAGTTATCATACAAATTTCTCGACTTTTTTTATGGCAGTTTCCATTTTATAAATATGGGTTCGACTATGATACGGAAAACAGGAAAAGATATGATACCGAAAAACATTTGACCAATAAACTGAAACCATTAACGTGTTGATCAAAACTCTTTCCATATCATATCTTTCCCGGATCATTTGGTTTTTCCTATAAAATTTTTTGTCAAAAGTTCAGGGGTTTGTCCATTTGTCCATTTGTCCCTAACTCTTACCAATGAAAGTTTAGGGGCAATTGTCCATTTGTCCCCAACTCTCAAAGTATAGGAAATCAATCTGTAATTTACCATTTTAATATAAAATTACTGATATGCCCCTGTTAAGATTTTCACGTATTTTAACGTCATTCCTTGCATAAATGCCATTTATAAATGTCAGACTCTGGGCCATCTGTGACGTAATGTTGGAGATGAAATAGTCACAGCTTAGAACTTGGAAGGCAATTTGTATGGTACCATAAAGATGTGGTGGGAAAATCTATGATGCTGGAAAATTATATTGAAAAGGTTTTGATCAATTACAACTTCCCGTGAATTTTGATGAAAAGGTACGTGATTGATTTTTTTTTTTTATAATGTCGATTGATTAGTTGTAAATTTTTTCAATATCATCAGTATCATAATCTAATCCAAAAAAATTACATGATAAATCTCACTTTTTTTTTTTATAAATCTATGATACTAGAAAGGTATGGTTGGTTCTAAGCTACAAGGGATCTGATTGATTATCAAATTTTGATACCAGCTGATTGGTTATAAGTTTTTTGGTATCATGTGTTTCTAGTATCATAGTCAAATCCTATTCCAACTAATTTTGACGAGCAATGGTTGATTAATTACCACTTCTGTGATATTGGTTGATTGGTTCATTAATTTTTTTAGGTATCAATGTATCGTGCCCTTTCAGTATCATATTGGTACCATAAAACAATTTTGAATATTAATTTCCATAGAAATAAAAGACTAATATTAATTTATGTTATTCACTTAATTTCAATTATCTTGAATTTTTTTTCATGTTTTTAAAGTTTAGGGTTATGTAGCATTTTAATGGAATCTTGTGCTATGAATTTATATACTTGGAACATTTGTTATAGAAAGATACTAATAGGGCTCGTGTGATGCATGGGAATACCCTGATATCCAATATGAAAATATAAGGGATTAAAAAGAAATGTAAACATTATATCATTACCCCAGAAGAAAAGTATTTTATGTAATAAAAATATATAAATAGATAATTGATTAATCTAAGGCTTTATTGGCTTGCGGTCTATACCCATAGTCTGTTTGGTCCAAACAAAAATTGGAATGGGAATTGGAGTTAGCTGGAATGGGATTTCATTCCCATGGGAGTGGGAAGGAATGGTCATTCCTCAAATGGGGGGATGTCATTCATTAGGAATG